GATTTGAAAGGTATATCGAACAGATGATTATCCTTCTCACACAAGGTAATCACCTCAATGATTTGATTGGATAGAGATAAGATTAGTTTAAAGCTATAGATCAAGAGCCCAAGCTTAAAATGAAATCGCTTTGATAAAGGGTCAAGCTAAGGTCACCTAATATTGAGATTTGTGATCGAAAGTGAATAAATCCATAATTCACTTTATCTATCTTAATATATAAGGTGAAAGTCTTATTGATTATATTAAAAGAAGAGTAATACCGTAGCATGTGTTTTACACGACATGTATATTGTTTTACCAACAATGGTAATAGAAGAATAGATCTTTCTTCTTATTGTGTAAGACCCTTGAAAGTAGAATATCTCATATTTAGTACACTTAGTGACTTTTGACTATTTCTTAAATTTCAATTCAATATTAACTATCTTGGATTGTTACCAATGATCATGAATGATTCAATCTAATGGGACATATTTGGATAGCAGTTGAATTAAAATAGAGAGATTCTAAAAGAAAGAAAGATCATTTTGGTGTCACATTTAGTTGTATTTAAAGGTTGACTAATTATATTTGAAACATCGAACATAATTATGTATACACAAGTATATCATAATATGATAAAAGAGATATTGTGAGAAACTTGAAATGTAATTGAATGGGTCTAAGGTACTGTATACTTACTTTACTTGTACTTAAGAGTTACTATACATATCTAAAAATTGTAAAAGTGACTAGACATGATTATGAGCTACTACAAGCACCTAGCAGTCGTATAGCAACAGAGCTTTCAAAGTATGTTGCTTACACAGCTTATTTCCTTGTAATAACCTGATGTAAAAGATAGAGAAAATGTTATTAAGATCATGAGAATTTGACACCCATTTTATACAAGTGGGAGATGTAAGATTAAATGATTCAATCTACCCATAATTTGTGGCCCAATCTTTGTATTAAATAATTGCCATTAGGCAACTTTTCTATTTTCAAGAATGAAAATTGTCTTAGGCAGTTTACAAAACAAGAAAAGAAAATGCTGCCCATTCTTCCATAATGGTATTCAACCATTATCAAGAGAAAGAATAAAATTTTCTTACAATAACAAAAGAAAAAGAACTGAAAAAAAGAGAGAGAGCAATCGGTAGGCATTGTGCAACACTCAAGAGGAATTCTTGCTTCGGTGTATTGAAAAACATACGCTATAGAAACAAACAATTTTTGAATTGTGATCTTATCATTGACTAGTAATTCAAGTCAGGTTTTCACTTCCACTTCCATTAAACATGTAAGTATATATGATTATGTTCGTATATATCATGCACGTATTTATCTTTCAAATTACAATATTAATTATGATTGAATCAAGATGTCATATTGAAAGAATATATTTATAAGTATATTAAAGGCAATTCCTCAAATTAAATTGCTCAAAAAGTTCATATTAACTTGAATGATTTCTTTAAAAAGAAGAATATAAAGACCTTGTAATAAAAAGTTAGAAAGTAAAATATATGATCCAAAGTTTCTTAATAAAGGAATGAAAAAATCATATAACCTAGATTTCATAAAAATTCTTATTTAAAGCACAGAAGAGGTTGCATATAAACATGTACAATAATTTAATTATGAAACCAAATGTTAAGTATTACCAGGACAAATAAAGTCTTAATGAGTAGAATTCTTGAAATTAGTTATAAATTATTATTTTATAATCATGGATAATAACATTCTCATGTTAGTAGGCTTAATCTCCTTGATGCAACCAATAAGGTTGCAAATGAAATTTTATAGAGTTGATAAAACTATGGACAAAGAATATAACCAAAATGTATTGTTAAGAAAATTTACATAATATGGAAAAATAATATACACCATAATAAAATGGTTACAAAAGGAATGCCTATTGCATTCATGACAGTTCATCAAAAGATATGAAATTCACATGTTTCTAATATGGTGAATTAATTTAAAAAGGTGTATATGGAATAACCTTAAAGGTTATGAACTTCAAAAGTACACAAATTAGTTAAGTCCTTAATTGAACTTAAATTCTTAAGATATGATAATATCATTTGAAAAGAAAAATTTTTGGTTTATAATATCATATAAATTTATGATATGTTTAAAAGTGTTCATGGTAAGTTCAACAACATGCCATCATTTGAAAATATGAAGATGAATAATAATTTTGGTATGGTCCAAGAACATATTAAGATACCTAAAGGTTTTCTAAAGTGTTGTACATATGTTTTGGGAGAAAAAGATTATATAAGATGTCACCTTGCACTTATAAAAATAACAAGAAAATTTTCCCAAACAAAAAAGATTCCAAAAGGAATCTATTATTATGCAATGGGTACAACAATAGGGAAGAAATATAATTGCATAATAGGTTATACAAAAGTAATATTGCATGCAATGACATGCATAAAATTAAAAATTACTTTTGTAATTAGCAAAAAATAGTAGACATTTAATCTAACATAAATGTATTGAGATAATATTTAAACAATGTAAATGACATTATATATGGAAATCCTTCGGTAATAGAAGGAAAGGCCAATGCAAGATTACTTACTAACATGATATTATTTGAAAATGGATTGACATGCATGAACAGTTGGGATAATGTTTCTTGGAATTTAAAGAAACAAAAAAAGTTCTATTATTTACGGAGTTTATAATACTAGAAATGGCAAATAAATAATAAAGTAAATCTAAAAATTCCTAATCCAATGTATTATGAGTTATAGTGATAATTAAGCTATATTATCAAAGGCTTAAAGCCAAAGAAATTAAAACCAAATATAGCTATGTGTAAATTGGCAATGGGTGCACCGTATATTTTGTCAAAGCCAAGGAAACAAATCTTTTGATAAAGGAATTGCATTGGAATGATGTCTAGGCTTGTATGAGGGATGGGTAACAAGTTCAATTATTAAGTCACACATGATAAAGCTCCAACTCAATGCTTATTACACATTAAATCTTGAATTTTAGTGAGTCAAAGTACATCATTTGAATATATAGTTAGAGGTATTATGAGGTCCTTTTTTTCACAGGTATAGTTGGAAGTATTAGGCTGTTTGAGTTTGAGGTAAATTTTAAGTTAGACTTTTGGTTTTTGTATTGTTGTTATTTTTCAGTGTTTTTGTGTTTTTTTCAATTGTGTGTGATTTTGTTTATTTGGATTATTTATTTCTTGAATTTTTTGTTTATGTGTACCGGTTAATTAATAATGTAGTATGAAATGATGTTTTTTGGTTTTAGGTTTGTTTGTTTTTTATTGTCTATGTATTGATTTGGTTTTAGTGTTTAATTGATAGTTTTATTTATGGATCCTATTAGCAGAGGATGTTTTATGTATATATTGATTGAAAATTGCATTTGTTAAGTTGTCGTTTTTGGCGATGGATTCAGTTAATAAACGAAAAAAAATAGAATTAGAAGATTAGAAAAGTTATGGCATGCAAGATTGAGTAATTCACACAATTGTTGCAGCACAATTAGGAAGAAGATGGTAAGCTTTTGATTTTTTTTTTTTAGCTTTTTGATGTTTTGTTTTGTGTTTTAAGATGTGACTAAATTGAGAGGACTGAGGACATTGGGGTTTTTTGTTTGACGTTGCAGACGACAAATAGACCTAAGACTCGGCTTCTAAAGGCGACCAAGTCTTCAAACTCAGTCGAGGAGGATATCGAGATCGAAATGCCAAAGGTTTTGTATGGATTGATGAAGCAATCATGAAGCTCCAAGAAGGAAGATAGCGCTGGAAATCCTTTGCCGAAGCTTAAATCTGAAGATGTAAATGGTTTTTCTACTTATAGAAAGGCCCTTGTTTCACCTCAGATTGCAAGCTCTACACAGAGCCAATCCCAAACAACAGTTTTGCCTGATCTATTGGTTCGCGTTGGTGGGTATTTTGAGCATTCTTTCTTTTTGGTAATAAGGTTTGCTCCTTTTTTTTTTTTTAATATTGGCATTTGCAACATGAAAAAAAAAAGGAAGTTGAGGATTCTCCAACTCCAGTGAAAGTTGAGAATGTGGAACGGGCAAAAATGAAAATCTGTTCACCAAAACAAGGTCAAATATCAGGACTTAAAAGTTCATTTCTGATTTTAATCTTGATAAGAATGCTTTTAAAACGGCACCAGTGTTATGGGAGTCACGGAAGAACGTGGTGATGATTAAGCATGGAGATTCATAATCATCCATTGAAGAAGAACCAAATTCCGTAGATGGAGCTGTGACCAGGGAAAAGTCTGTTTCGACTGAAAAAGGATCCGTTAAATTGGATGTTGATTTTCAGGATTCCACAGTGACCAAAGCGTAAGCATCAAAGAATCTTCCTTTCTTTCTTTCTTTTTTCCCTTTTGATAAGTACTTTCATGATATCATAATTGTTATTTATTTATTTATTTGTTGGCGTGGGATATCACAGAATATCAATGGTGTCAAAAGTGGAGATCCAACGTGAAGAGAAGTTCAAAATCGATTTGATGACAAGAATCTCTTTCTGTCGAAAATTCCAAATTTTTGAAGAAAAAGAGTAATAAGTAATGCCCCCATTCCTTCCTAACTGGCTTCTCCTCCTATGGCATCATCTCGAGAAAGGGATAGCCCTGTGGATGTCAAACCAGATCCTATATACAAGGTTCTAGATACAGAGTCAGTAGGCACCTTTGAACTTTACTGATTTCTCTTCCTTTTTTTGGGGACTAAAATTTTTTACTTTTTCATTTTTCATGCAGAAGATAGAGACTTTGGCCAAGGATGAAGCAAAGGTTGTGAAGAAAGAAATGAGAGCAGAAGATGGTAAAGACAAGAAGATGGATACAATTAGGGAGAAGCGAGATTCATTGAACCTGGATTTGGAGAAGCTGTATCAAGATAGTGGTAGTGATTATTGTAAATTTGAACAACATGCTAAAAAACAACAGCTATCTAAAAGTTGGCATTCCTAAAGTGGAGAAAATCGGTAATTTTTTTATTTTGTTTCAGCTTTGACTAAATGTGCAACTCAATAATTTTTATTTGTTTCTTTATAACACTGCTTGAATTATGATTTGATTGAGTTTACTGATTGATCTTCTCCTCTTATTCAGCAATAGCCACTTCGAAAACTCTGTTTATGTTAATTACACGTATTATTGTAAGTTTAAATTTAATCAAATATCAATTAAATAAAATATTAAAAATTTTCTTAATAAACTAGGCCAAACCGAGTCACCCGCACTAGTGTTAATTAGAAGAAATCATGCAAAGCTATTTAATATCTTAAGGTAATATTCAATGATTAACAGAATTGATTCTAGATTTAAAGAATCGATGAAAAAAGATTTATCATAAGAGTAGCCGACTGTCATTTACTAGACTTAAGGAGCAGTTGACCACTTATCCTAAAATAGTCGACTGCTATGAATTTTAAAAAGATACCAAGGTATTGTTACAAAACTTAACAAAAGAGTAATCGATTGCCTATCTTAGGGAATCAACTAATGTCAATGACGTCGATTGCTTTTTCAATTTCTATTGGTTTTAACTATTGTAAAATTTAGGAAGTCGACTGCTCTAAAGCAACAATCAACTGTCCTGTTTCATGAAGCGTTCTGAAAATAAAAAAATTACAAAGAGGTAATTAATTGTCTTCACTCTCAGAGGTGATAAACGGGCCAATTTGAGTGAATTCGTATTGAACTGTCTTCGAATTTAAATCTTACGGGTTATGATTTATTTTATATTCAGATCGTCTCGAATTCAAATTTTTTTAGATTTAAGCTTTTTCAAATTTGAATATCTTTGAGTTTGTATCATTTTAAATACGTTAATTTGATTCGAGTTAGGTTAAGTTACTATTTAGAAGAGTTCAAATAATTTTTAAATTTAATAAATTATTAACATTTTTGTAATTTCGAATTTAAGGATTAATTTTTAATTTTTTATATAGCTAAATAAAAATATTTCAAAAATATTAATGTTAAATTTTTAAAATTAATATATTTATATAAATAAATATTATATATTAATTTGTCTTTAAATATTATCCATTACTTTTTTTAGTCCATCTTATAAATTCAAATAAAAGCTAAAAAATATAAGTCCAATGTATCTACTTATAGTTATAGTATGAATATAGAAGAATTAATAATTAGATAAGAATTTGTTTTTCAATTAAACTAAAATAAATATATAATAACACTAAAAAATATAAAGCTCAAAATCATTAGATTACATAAAAAAAAAAAATCATTTCAATGACTTAACAAGTCACAAATAAAGTCCACTAAAAACAAATTGATATGATATTGATCAAATTTTAATATTTTATTATTTTGATATTAACATTAGTTAGATAAAATTTTATTCACTAATTAATAAATGTCTAATTATAATGTTAAATAGTAAATATTATTAAAATGAGTATCAATTATTTTTTAAAATTGAGCAGTTAATTAACTCAAGCTCATATCAATTTTTTGATTTGTACATTAATCAAATTACTAATATTACTACATTAAATTTAATCGTATACTTTGATTGATCAAATATCCATTAAAATATTTAATTAAACAAAACATATACTCTAATTGACCAAATTCACATAGTTGAAAATAGACATTATTAAAAATAATATTATTTTGATTATTTTGACATTAACATTTACATAAATACAATAATATTGGATATATGTCAATTGATCAAATATACAATTAGAATATTAATAGTAGAAATTATTAAATTAATTAATATAATGCTAATTACACAAAAAAAATGTATTTGCTTAAATATAACTAATCTTAATATCAAAGAAAGAGCTCGATGCAAGTTTTGTGGAATTGTTATTATTGATAGGTCTTATTCAGGTACATCTACTAAGCATTGTCAGATGGAAAAATGTACTAAATAGATCTTCCTAATGAGGATTCGGATGGAAGTTAAAAAAATATACCCACTTGTTGCTCGTGAAGTGATAACTAAAAAAGTGATTGCTCATGGATATCCATTCAAGATTGCTAATTGCTTGAAACTACAAAAAAAAAAAAAAAAAAATGAAAGAGAGTTAAATCTAATATGGAGAAAATTTCAAGCATAATTTCTTTGCTTGCTGATACGTAGACATCCTATGCTACTAATTGATATTTTTGTTTAACTGCATATTTTATTGATGATGATTGGAAGTTACACTGTGCAATTTTAAATTTTTGACATGTGTCACCATCACATATGGTATTTTTTTTTTATAAAAAGATTTATGATTTATTGAAAGCTTATGGAATTGAGAAAAAAATTTAGCATTACTTTAGCAATATGGATAACATGAAAAACTTTTTATGTGGTTATCTTGATCAAAACGGTGCATTGTTATGTCATGGATTTTTTTTTTTTCATATTCATTGTGCTGCTTATATATTGAATCTTGTTGTTTACAAAAGTTTATTAATGATTAGTGAGCCTTTGAAGAAGGTAAGAGAAAGTGTAAAATATGTTGAAGGTTCTGAAGCAAGAAAGGTCAAGTTTTAAGAATGTGTAATTCAATCAAATTTGAATTATTCAAAAGGATTGCGGTTGGATGTGATAACTAGGTGAAACTTTACATATTTTAATGTTAGATAAATTTTATTTTTGTAAAGCTTTTGAGAAGTTGAGTTAGTCGGATGAGAATTATGAGTCGGATGAGAATTATGAGGCATTTCAAAGTTCAAAAAATTTTCTTTAATTTTGAATACTAAATTATCAAAACTCAGAATGGGTAACTAGTTATCGTAAGTTCCTTGACTTCATTTTATGATATAATTTTCATATAATTGTAAAAAAAATATTAAAAATAATGACTCAAATCACATAAATTATTTGGATAAATTTTTTTTTTGTATTTTAAATTGATTAAATATTGTTTGATGAATAAAAAAATTTGTAAGAGAAATATTCTAAGTTAAGAGAGTTCTTGATAAGTAAGTTATGATATTTATAAATAGTGGAGTCACAATAAGATTAGATATAAAAAAAATATATAGGAGAGTTATAGAGTTTTATTGGGTAAATAACTCATAGGGAGATTGAGATGGTCTTTTTGGTGTGTATGGTTTAATAGACTAAAGGAAAATGAGATGTTCTGTATAGGTATGATGAGTCACAAGTGTATGTACTTGTTTAAGTTGAAAATACTTCTAAGATTGGAGAAGAATGAGAGAGTCTATAAGTATTATTTGAGATTGAGTATTGATGATTTGTATATTTGTAATTTTTTATAACTAGTAGATCTTTTTTTTTATATATGGACGTATACCAGTTTGGTTGAATCACATTAAATTATTATTTTTTATATGGTTAATTAATTGTTTGATTTTATTTTCTTTAGTAGATTTAGCAATCCGTGTTTTCATATCATATTTGACATGTGTAATGATACAAATTATTAAAACACAAATACAATACGAATTATAAAATATATTTAAATCTTAAACATGAATATAACACATTTCTTATACGTGTTACACATGACATGACTAACACAAATAACACTAATAACATTAATAGATATGAATAAACACAAATAACACTAATATATACGCATAGATAGTAAATACAAATCATCAAACATCATACACAATTCAAGTTATACCAACCTACTAGCTTCAAAGTATTCAAAAAAACAACAATAATTTATAGGTTACGTTTTAATAATAACATATCATGTAATATAAAATAAATTGTATAATTTTTATCATTATACATATTATTTAGAATTTGAATTATTTTTAATTTCAAATGTATAATTTCTTATTTTAATTCTTATAATTTAAAATAATTGCATATTATAATTTATGTTATTAAGATGATCATATAATTTTTTATCATTATAAATGTTATTTATTATTACAATGATATATTGTTGTATATTTATATGATTTGGATTTGCTTTACTTTATCAATGATTATTTTATTGGATGTTACTTGTTATTAACAATTAAGTGTACATTTGTCTTTCTAAATTATTTTTTTAATGAAAAACTGTTTTTTAAAATGATTATAAAAAGTTACAGAAAATAATATATATTTAATATGTTAAAATTTATATATTATATATAAATAACTAACATAAAAAATACTTGCATATTTAAAAAATATAAAAAAATTGATTCCCATTAATATGTATTTAACATATATTATATATAATTAAAATTTAATATATACATTACTAATATAACAATCATATGTATAAATAATTATATTAGTTTTTAGTACCAAATCTAAAATGATGAAATACTAAAAATTAAAGAATAAAATAATGATGTATTGCACTAATATTATTATTTATATTGTATTTATATTATTAATATAAAAAATAATTTTATAATAATTATTAAATCAACATCATAATTAAATGTTTAAAATAATATTTATATGGTATATTGAATAGTTAATTAGGTATCATAATTAAAAGATTAAAAATTAAAATAATTTTTAATTATATATTTATATTAAATTAAAATAAATATAAAAAAATATGTTAAATATGTTTTCATATCATGTCATGTGTTAAACGTATTTTCACATGACATGTTTTATTTAAATATATTTTTCGTGTCTTAAACGCTTTTAGAAGTGTCAACATGTATAAGATATGAATTATGTCATATCGAAATTCATGTTAATACGAATAAAAATGAAACATATTTTTTTAAAATATATATATTATTTTTTTATATTATTTTCATACTATATCATTATATTGTATCTAAAATTACCAAATTTATTGGTTAACTTGAATATTTAATTAATTTAAAATTTTTTACTTAACAATTAAAATTAAAAAAGTCATAATCCTAATAATTAATATCAAAACCATATTCGAAATTTATGTGTGATTCCTATGAGATAGAAACTGCTTTATGACTTTTCAAACAAAGTCTAAACTTAATTTTATGTAAATTTGACGGTTTGTATATTTATATCGTATAAAATATTAAAATTTATGTATTTAAATTATATTTTATACAAAAATTACATATGATAATTCATATTGATATTATAATTAATTACTTACATTATAAATTAGTGTACATTTTAACTATTTATTTATTTATTTATTTGTAATTTTTATTTCAAAAAATATTAATTTAATTTTGTTTTTTAAGATAAAACTTTTTGAAGTTTTTAATATATCTTTAAAATTTTCTATTTTATTAATTATTTGATTAAAAAAATTTACATGCATAAACTTTTTTAAATTTATAACCTTAAATGCTAATTTTAATAATATATCAATTAATTAAAAATTAATTTCCGAAATAAAATTCGACAATTTTAATAATACGCGAACTGATTAAAAAATAGTTGACGAAATAAAACTTGTTAAGAAGGAATTTTTCATTTTGACGAAAAGACCAATACACCATGAAGCCTTTGAATAAAGCCCTGATCTTTGACCCTCGCCGTAAACGAAAAGCCAAAAAAAATGTAAAAGGGAGAGTCACCGAAACAATCGGTGGCCGGTTTTGAGTGTTGAAAAGCGATACTGAGGGCGACTGTCCCTAGCATTCCATAATTCTGATAGGCGACGCAAGCGCGGGAGTCTCCTCTTATCCAAAGGCCAAACCCCCGGTAATTTAACAGGTGAACACGTGTTCAACATTGCTTAAAACGTGTCACCCTTTAACTGGTGAAGTAAGCATGTTACTCTGTTCTTACGTGTTACATAATTTTCCCCCTCCCCAAATACTCGCTCTTCATCAAAGCTGATAGTAATATTGTGGGTAGTGGGTACAAAGCTGCAGCCGACAGGCGACAACAACAGAAAGAAAATCTGGTGTCATTTCTTACGCAATCACAAAGTAGAGAGAGAGGTAGTTGTGGTAACTGTTGGAAGTGAAGCTAATGGCGGCGTTCTCAGCCACGATCTCTGAGTCTTCACGTTTTCTCTCTTCTACCTCGTTGCCTCATGACGCTGCGGCGCCTAAGCGAAAGATCTCTGCATCTCCTTTTCCTTCTCAATGCCGCTCCTTTTCTCTTCCCAAACCTTTTCCTCTTTCCAGGTCATTTTTTTGTCCTCTTTATTTTCTTGCCGTTTCTACTCGATTTCTCTTCTGTTTGGTTCCGAGGAAACGAGGAAATGATTCTTAATGCTAGTCGAGTGATAGCTATGTAACGCATATCTTATTTTCTGCCTTTTTAAGCATAGTTTATTTATTTTAATTTCGTAGAGGTAATATCACTTTGATTTTTGTTTTTATTTCGATTATGCTTTAGCTATGTATCTTAGATTTCAATTAGATCAGAATTGGAATTGGACTGCCGTTATATACTGCCCAGATAGCCGTTTAAAAGCAAATGTTGGAGTCCTGGGTGACTGCTTACGGCGTTATTTCTTTGTCATATTTAAATTACTCAACTTTTAGAACTTACGGCGTTATTTCACTTGGGCGAGTACTTTTTTTTTTTGTGCCCTGTGTAAGGATCCTGATGCCTAGAGTGTGCTTTATGCTTTTGGCAATATTGGTGGAAGTCCTGGTGATGTAGGACAACTAGGTGATTAGGGTTTAAGGCATTTTTCTGATTTGAATTCTTGAGGAGAATAAGGAAAATTGAATAACGTAAAAGGGAAGAAGAGGATAAATCCTTAAGCTTGATGGTTGGTGTTCCTTAAGCCTGATACGTAGTGTTACATAATAAGTTTGATATCAAATTTGATACCATGAAATGATTTGAGGAAGCTACTTATTGTTACATAATAAATTTGATAATGAATTTATTAAAGTGACAGAAAATTCTTTCTCCTCCCCTTGTTCTCCCCTCTTATTTTCCTGGATCACAACCATACCAAGTTGCTTTCCGCCCTCCCTCATCTTCTATCCATTCTTCCCCTTATCTGCATCAAATCTTAGCAACCCTCAAAGACCCAACCATTGTTTCTTATCTTCCATCTTGTCAAATATGCTGCACTCTCTGTTACTCGCTTTTGTCAATCCCCTTGTCTTTGACATGCTTCAATCTCATACCGAGGAACTCATTGAAAGTTTGAAGTTGTTGTTAAAGGTTTGATTATGTTGAAATTACTGTTGAACGGGTTCCAATGTTTTGATTATTTTCATGTGGGTTGGTAAAATCTGGGTTTAGTATTGGTATTTTTCACAGGGGTTAAACTAATAGTATTGTCTGAACTTCAAGTTTCTAATATCTTAGAAAACTTCTATTTTTTTTTTTTTACCAATTGACAGAAAACATTTTCATGTTGTCATCCAAATGGTGGACAAATATTAATTTCAAGGAAATTATTTTCTCTGGAAGTATTTTTCTTTAAGAAACAAACAGGCGCTCACTATTGTTGTTTTCTTGAATCTTGCTTTCATTAGGGCAACTCAAATCAGGATTTTTGAAAAGATAATGGGACAAGAGAGAGAAGATGGTTTGGTGACTTAAGGGTCATAGTTCCTTGGAAAGAGTGAGTGAAGGGAATAGAAGATTTCTGGGATAAGAGAGACAAATTTAGGGATGTTGAAACTGAAATTTTTTTTTTTTTGGGGGGGGGGGGGAGTTGGCCTCTTGGGCCTAACAAGACCATTATTAAAACCTAGAAAGCCCATTTATGAATTCAGAGGAAAAAAAGTGCAGTTCAATTCTTTCTGTGTGTGTATGTGTTTGTCAAAAGAAAAAGAAAACCATTTCCAATTTGAATACCTTACATAATTGACAATCTAAATTATTTCTATCCTCCTTCAACGTCTTTGCCAAATTGAAATTATCCTGTAACAGTTACTACTTAAAATCTAGCATATCAAATTTCTTATTGAATAAAGATATCCTACTTTATAAAATGTATAGACCCTATAGCTTGTATCTTTTCTTCCCTTTTTAGCATATAACCATGTCCTATATTTAAGCAATTGACAAGCCGATTGCTCCAATATGTAACCGCAGCCGAGATGTATCCAATTCCATGCAACATAGGCATAGACTGATGGCTTTTTGAATGTGTGGACTGTTGTTTGTTTTTCCCACAAAAAGATCAATTAAAAACTTGGTAGGTCAACAGATAAAGGTTCTGGGTAATTTTGGTGGGCTTGTCATCAAATAAATTGTCCTTTGATATTCCAGTTGGCTTTTCTGTTATTTTCAGTATTTTAATAAAACTGAAGAGTTTATCTTGTTATCTATGTTCCAGATTAGGTGTCGTTTCTCAGTGGGGAAGAGGGAAGTCACTGAATATTTGTGTCCAGGCTTCAGTAGCAGGTTTGTTTTACATTCTATTTGTTATGCCATTTATTTATGCTCGGTTTATGATTCTATTGTTAAGGATTTCCACATCAGACAAAGCATTGTCATTAAAGAATAAAATCCTAGATTAGACAGACCCATGTTCTTAAATAGAATTCTGCATATGACCAAAAATATTAATAAATGGGTTTGATATGCATGGTTTCATCTCCTTCCCTTTAGTTAATCATTTGGGATAGTTGATTATTTAACACTATAATAATGTGAGACGGGCATGAGGACCACTTTCCTTTTTTAAAATTTAATGTTTCTACAGTTTTAGTTCGAGTTAATTGCACATTTGCTACCTAAACTTTGCAAAATGTGCAAATTGGTATCTGAAGAAAAAGTATACAATTTGCTCTTGAATTTCAACAGGTTAACCCAAAGTAAAAACTGCTAATCCAGCTGGCCTATGCGTGGTGTCTGACCAATATGATCATGTCGTTTGTAAACCACATGAATCCATTAACATCCTTTTCAACACCAATTAGAATAAAAAATATATTCTTTGCACCTAGATGATAATAGTCTAAGATCGGCTAATTTGTGGATGACAAATGGAGTTTTCACTAATTTTATCATTTTTACTTATCATTTGATGTACACATGGCATAATTATATTGGTTAAAGGTATGTAGGTAGTTAGGCACGGTGTTAGAGTATGTGTTAGTATGGTACACTATTTGAAAGTACAAGATACAAATTGTAGATTTCATTATAGTTTGGGTTCTGAATGTGAGATTAGCTTGCTTAATTTCTTCTTTGAGTTGAATCAGTGATTCTAGTTGATCTTCATGTTCTAGGTCAAGACTGTTTTTGTACTTGCATCTAAGGGGAAATGTTTAATGAAAAACTTAAAGTCCATTTCAGTCTTATTACTTGTTTGAAATGGTCGAATTTCTAAGCTCCCTATACTTTTTATTTGTAAACATAGCCTTTGTGCTTAAAGAATTTTTTTTTGTCCAATTCAATTGGCATTTAATTCAATCAAACAAAATTGTTTACTTTACTGATATCTCTTATTTATTTTTCAAATAATTGTTGACTTGGCAAAAATTAAGTTGACTCAGCTTTAACATTGTAATAAATAGAATAAAAAGATACAATTGCTGTCTTGTCTTTTAGTTTGCCATTTTTTTTTCTAGATCTAAGGCCAAATCAATTTTGGCTACCAATTGCATAGCATAATTCTACATCAACATTGTGCCAATCTTTCGCTGAGGTTCCTTTTCTATTTGTTAAACTACTCAATCAAACAAAATACAATTCCTCATCAACTACAGAACAGACTCTCTCTTTAAAGGGCAGATCTTTTGTCAAGTATTATTGATGAGAAATCCAACTTAAATCAAATTGGCAATTGGTGAAGCCTTCCCTTTCATTTATGTTCATAGTAAATCCCAAAATTTGTTTAATGTGTTTTATAAAGTGACAATTGACCTACTGCATGACATGCACTTCACATATGGATATATGATTTCATCATTAGGCGTGTAAACAAATAGAGCTTTCAACGAACTGTTCGTTAACATGTTTGGTTTACGTTCGTTAATATTCGTTTATTAAGCTTAACAAATGATTTTGAACAATATTTTTATGTTCATTTATTAAGCGAACTGAACACGAATAGAGGTCTGTTTGGTTCGTTTATATTCGTGAACAAGCTCATTTAAAGTTCGTTTAAAACTCGTTTGTTTATTATTCGTTTATTGTCCGTTTGTTGTTTGTTTATAATAATACTAATAAAATTACATTTTTATCCTTTACCCTAATCCTATTTTAAGGTTCGTTTATGTTTTTTTGGGTTTATTTATGTTCGTTTAGGATTTGGTTGTTTAAATTTGTTTGGTTATGATTTGTTTATTGTTCATGAATATGTTCGTTTATATATGTTCGCGAACATGTTCGTTTAATGTTAAGAAACGAGCTTGTTTAATTTAATTGAACCGAACACTAACCGAATGCGAATAACCTACTATTTAAATGAATTGAATACGAACGAATAGAGCAATTTTTTTAGCGAACACGAACCGAACACGAACACCTCTAAAAATAAATGAACAAACCACAGACTTATGTTTGTTCGTTCATGTTCGGTTTGTTTACAGCCCTATCCATTATATCCCATGGAACTTGACAAGTAGGCAAAACAAGCCTATCATAGGGGAATCAACAAATAGGGAGCTAGGGCAACTATGATACTATGTCAAATTTTATATTGTTTATCCAATCTAAACCTAGTTGGTAATGGTCGGAGAGGTGTCTCTATATTGAAGGTTGCTGGTTACTTAAAATGTAATCAATATAGGGCATATGTTTATAACTGCTTAATAATGTTCCCTCTCTCTCTCTCTCTCTCTCCAAAAGTGTTTACTCAAAATTTCATATTACAGTCCTTTTTCATGTTTTTAGTTACAAATTTCTTATTCACCTTCACATCTTTACTCTTGATGTTAGTTTTTGTGTTTCTTCTTGCTAGTATCTATCATTGATGGTTGTGCAATTGCTGTCAAATATAGTCATTAGATAAAAGGCCCTTTTATGGATTGTATGTGTTGTGTAACTTGTGTTATATATTTTCTGTATTTGTAAATGGTTATTGAATCTCTTCATTGATTGATTCAGGTGCTAGGCTTTACCAGAATCAGGCATCTCAATTTTTAATTAGTTGATTAGTTGTTTACCACCATACATCATTTCACAGCATTGACCTTTGGACTATTGTTTTTTTCCTTCCTCTGCCTTGGTACTATGTTTAGATTTACCGGGTATAATTTCCTTAAGAGAGAGACCTGGATCCGGTTGTGGGTAACAAAACATAAAGGGTAAAAAGAAGACAAAAGAAAAAGAAAAAGCAAAGGATGATGGTTTTATTTGTTTTTTAATTGAATTTTTGCAATTTTATTGCCATGTCAACTCCATTTTTGTCTCACCAACACCTAAATTAAATAAAACACGTGGGCAGAATCAGTGGTTTTACATTAACACTGCCAGCAATTTTATTCAATTCAACTCCAATTAATTTGTTTTGAGACTAAATATCAAAAATGAAAGTTACATGTATTGATTGTAACTTTTTTTTGAGCTAGTGCGATGACTAATTCTGGACTGTAACCAGGATAAAATATCTGCTCTGAGAAACATTGTAATTAATATCAGCTAGATATACATGATTAGGTAAATTTCATATTAGCTTAATCTAATGGATGGTAGGTTATTCAGTACTGGTAATTGACATTTAAAATATGGTCATATTCTATTTTCCCTCTCATTTACAGATATCTCAGTGGAGACATCGATGGATAAAGTTCATCTTCCCAAGGGAAACATGTGGGCTGTTCATAAGTTTGGTGGCACTTGTGTTGGGACCTCCCAGAGGATCAAGAATGTTGCAGATATTATTGTTAGTGATGATTCAGAAAGAAAGTTGGTAGTGGTGTCAGCCATGTCTAAGGTGACTGATATGATGTATGACCTTATCAACAAGGCACAATCTCGAGATGATTCCTACATTTCTGCACTGGATGCTGTCCTAGAAAAACATCAATCAACAGCACTTGATTTGCTTGATGGAGATGATCTGGCTACTTTCTTATCTCAATTGCATCATGACATTAGTAACCTCAAAGCAATGCTTCGTGCAATATATATAGGTAATAGAACTCTCTCTCTCTCTCTCTCTCTCCCTCTGTCTCTATTCACTTCACTTATAGAACAAGATGGGTTGGCTGAATCAGTGCATTTTTATATGTTTGCTTATGCAATTTTGTATAAGCAAGGACATTTAATGGGCAGACAAATATGTGTTTCTTGGAAGGAATCTAACAAATCTGTTATATCTCATCAGAAAATAAATTGGTTGAATCAATTGTTACTTGTTTGTGCCTTTGTTCATAGGAGTTAAAAAGCCACCAGTCGTAGTGGTATTGGTATTGGTTAAATCTATCTACCAACCGGCAACAGTTTCTGCTTTGTAATTTTACCAAGTGCATTTGCAGTATTGTTATCTCTTGTCTGATTTTCCTTTTCTTCCTGCCTCCCTATGTTCCTCTTAACCAAGGACATATTGATTTACCTGTGTCTTATCTAAATGTTAACCTGTGCTTCAGGAGTCATTCAATTGTATTCTAAATTTTACATGCAGAACTCCTTTTCTATGTTTTTTGTTTTTATCAGTTTTTTCATGTGTTTGCCCATAATTAATTAAGTCATTGGCGAGTTTGGTAAAGAATAGGAAATGCCATATACTAAATGCTTAAAACATTTTTAAACCATGGAATCACAACATCCCTTGGACAGGTAATCATATAATTGACCTTGATCTTATTTCTCACCTTAAATATCATTCTTTCGAAGTTCATGATGCCCAGAGATTCATTTTCGTTAAGATGGTTAATGTTGTTTTTCTGTTGAATCTCTGCTTCATTTCATAAAATATGTGATTCCAAAATTTGAGTAATTTCTCGATAATTCACCTTCATTTTCTTTCTTAGATTTGTGGGAGAGCATATTGTGGAAATGGGTGGTAGAATTGGGTTCTAGTTGGTTTAATTATGACAGTTTTTAGCCCACTCCACTAACAAAAAGGAAAAGAATACAAACAACTTCATTACAACTTCATTACTGTGTCAGTTCTGTGGCTGATGTTTTTCTATGCTAAGTCATTGTATTGGAGAAACTTTGATTACTTGAACCTTAATGCTAATTTTTTACTTTTCTCCCTATATAAGTGTTTACTTTTATTTGTTTATCACTTACAGGTTTCTGCAAATATTTGTATGAAATTCACTTTATTTATTTGATTAGCAAAACGAATGTATTTGTTTGACATGCTTGGTTTTATTTTAATTGGGGCAATAACTTTTGTCACTAAGAGTTTCTCAGTTTTGACTTTTCATTTTGCATTAATTGTTTTAATTTTAGATTCTATTCAGACGGTAAGATTTGACGCATATGTTGGCAGCTCAACTCAAATAAATCTTATCTGTTGTTACTGTTTCCAAGGGAGGAGGATGAAAAGAAAGATATGTTGGCTTTCATTTTTGTGATGCTCTTATTGTCTGTCCTTTTGCTAGCTAAATTCCTGGGCTTAATTTGTCAAAGAATACCATTTATTGTGTTAAGGTCATCTTCAAGTCTTTGAGTTCAAGATTCTAACTGTTGTTTAATCACTTTTGTTCAAGTTTTTCATTACTAATAGTTTGACCTCTTGACAGGCTTGTGGCATTTTGTTTTTTTCTTCTATAGTCCTCTTTTCCTATGATTAATACTTCTTCTAAAGGAGTATTTCTTGTTATGTAAACTTACATTCTTAACTTTCCCCCTTTTCAGCTGGTCATGTGACGGAATCTTTCTCAGATTTTGTTGTTGGACATGGGGAGTTATGGTCTGCTCAGATGTTATCATATATTGTTAGAAAGGTATGGTGGTTTTGGTTAATTGTAACCTTTGGGGACATTATCTGATGTATTATCAAATGGATTTTGGTACAGAATGAGCTAGATTGTAAATGGATGGATACAAGGGAGGTCCTTATTGTAAATCCCACTAGCTCTAATCAGGTTGATCCTGATTTTTTGGAATCTGAAAGAAGACTTGAAAAATGGTTCTCTCAGAATCCATCTAAGGTAATAATTGCAACTGGTTTCATTGCCAGTACACCTCAGAATATTCCTACAACTTTGAAGAGGGATGGAAGTGACTTCTCTGCGGCTATAATGGGTGCACTGTTTAGGGCTCGCCGAGTCACAATATGGACAGATGTTGATGGTGTGTATAGTGCTGACCCCCGAAAAGGTAGGCTCTTGGCCCTACATATAGATACATGCATGCAGTCTCATTAACACACCCATCTTTTGGCATCGTCTATAGAGTGTGGTTTAGATCTTATTAGTTTTAAAATGGTTCATTGTCCTTTACATTACTGTTTTCTGAGTTTTTTTCCCCCTCACAAAATAATCTAATCTATAATCTAAAATAAAAGGTGCATGAGGTGCCCAGCATTGTCGTGCCATGTACCATTTTTCTTTGTCTTGTAATTTTGTTTTGCTTTTTATTTAAAAAAAAAAAGCCTCTCAACACTCAAAAGTTCTCAAATTCCCATATTCAGCTTAGATTTTCCTAATACATCCTCATCAGTTCTTGTACCTCCCTACTCTTTCACTTGCCACAAGCAACAATGTTTTTTGCTTTTCTTTTCGCTTTCATAAATTTCAAAGCTCCAACCACTGTATCCATTGCCTTATCTTCCCTGCTAAGGCATCTAAACCTTTTAGATCCTGTCCCCAAAACAAACTACTTCCCTTTGATTATTTCCTTCTTAAAATTCAAGAAATGCTTGTCGTAACTGTTAAAATGTTTGAATCTCAAATTCAAATCCCTAATTCCTAGAGCCATAAAAAACTTTGAAGACGTTTAAAATTTTCCCATAATATCTATAAATATTTCCCAAAGCCATTGCCCTTCCTTTCCAAATAATATAGGTTACATTCATTACCAACTAAAAAAGTCATCTTGAATTGCATTTGGAACCATAAAGTTCTGCATTCTACAACCCTAACAAAGTAAGGTTGAAAACTGTACATTTAAGTATGCAAGGAGTAAAAAGAAATAAAATTGTGTTCTGAAAAACAAAAAGAGATAACAAATTTAAGTTCAAGCAGAAAACAGGCAACGACAGTTGTGAACAGTAATAGAGCAAGCAAGGCTTCATAATTAATAAGAAAAATATTTAAGGAAGAAAAGAGTTGCCAAACAGATCTGAGCAGGATGAAAAAGAGAGTTGTAAAAAGTGGAGATAGATTGATGGCAAAATCAACTAAGGTGAAAGACAAAGTCATGTTTAAGAGAAGTAGGAGAAGAGAAAGATAAGGTAAAGCACTGCATGGAGGGAAAGAAAAAGAAGAATGGTAGGGAGGGAGGGGCGCATTTTTCAGGGAGTGAAGGAATTGAGGGGAGGATGCAAGGAGGAAGGGTGGGCCAGATAAGAAGAAGAGGGGGAGAGAGAGAGAGCCCATAGTGTGTGAGAGACTAGAAAAGTTAAAGTGAGTGTATAAAGAAATAAAATGAAAATGGGATAATAGGAAGTCAAATGGATATTGTGAGCAATACCCACGTTGAGAGGAAATTAATTTGGAGCATGTGAATTTCCTTATGAGAAAATGAAGAAGAGAACAAGTTACAAAATCAGGATGAGTAAAAAGGATAAAATGGGGATCATAAGAAAAAGAGAAGAAAATGAAATAAAATTGGACGATAGGGAATAAAATGGTGGGGTAAGGGAGGGACTCATTGTTCAGGGGGTGAAGGAATTGACAGGAAGATGCAAAGAGGAACGGTGGCCTGGAGAAGAAGATGAAGGGGGAGCAAGAGAGAGATAACCAATAATATCTGGAGACTAGAAAGGTTAAATTGCATGAATAAAGAAACAAAATGGAAAAGGTATATAGGAAATCTAATGGATAGTGTGCCATACCCATGTTGAGGGAAAATTAGTTTGGAGCATGTAAATTCCCCTACGAGAAAAGGAAGAAAAGAACAGGGAATGAAATTGGAATGAGTAAAAAGGAGAAAACAGAGATCATAAAAAAAAAGATAAGAATATGAAATAAAATTGGAGAATAGGAAAATTGGCTACTAAAGAAACAACATATTAAGAAAAAAGAAGTGCAAGAACTGTGCCTTAAACGATAAGTTATACTATTACTTATTTTATATTGGTTAATAAGACATGAAAGGATTTTACTTATCAAAGGATAAATGACTTCTTTAAAGGGAGGGAAACATATTTTTTGAATTAATTGTTGAAAGAAAAGGATATTAATTCGCCTTTGATTTCTTTTTCATCTAAGTTTTCATTAAATATTGATTTACAATTTGATGGAAGATGCTAGCACATGCATTTTCTTTCATCTAAAATTTTAAAAAATATTGATTTAGACTTTGATGAAAGAGGCTAGCCCTTTGTGTCCCTAAACTGGTGTTGTCAAGGGTTGCTTACAATTATTTTTCCCTTCATGGACAATATAAATGTGAGGTTGTATTATAATTGTAAAGTCTAACTTTTCTTGCAGTTAGTGAAGCTGTGATATTAAGGACATTGTCTTATCAAGAGGCATGGGAAATGGTAGGCTTCAGGGCTCCTTTTATACATGTCAAAGTTGCTTAACTTTCTGGATAGATTTTTTTTCTAAGATAAGTAAATGTAACCATGCAGTCATATTTTGGGGCAAATGTTTTGCATCCTCGCACCATTATACCTGTGATGCGATATGATATTCCAATTGTAATAAGGAATATTTTCAATATCTCTTCTCCTGGAACAACTATCTGCCATCCTGCAACCGAAGATGAAGATGGTCAGAGGCTAGAATCTCCAGTCAAGGGGTTTGCAACGATAGATAATTTGGCACTAGTAAATGTTGAGGGGTATGGTTTCTCGTATGATTTTTATTGCATGTATTTGGTTGTGTTCCACCTTGTAACTTTTCATTTTCTTCTGGTAGAACTGGAATGGCTGGTGTTCCTGGTACGGCTAGTGCCATTTTTGGTGCTGTGAAAGATGTGGGAGCTAATGTCATTATGATATCCCAGGTGCCTACATTCTCTTATTTTAGTTATTACTGTTCTATGTTATGTATGGAATGCTTATTTCTCAATATTGACACAGGCTAGTAGTGAGCATTCTGTCTGTTTTGCTGTGCCTGAGAAGGAGGTAAAAGCAGTTGCTGAGGCTTTGCAGTCTAGATTCCGTCAAGCGTTGGATGCTGGACGTCTTTCTCAGGTGCTTGTCTCAGTTTAAATATATACATATATGGACTTGGTTATCTGACAAGCATAACTGATGTAAAGAAAGTAGGGAAATGAGATAGAATATAGAAATCTAGAGGGAAAAGTCAGAAATAGACAGAAGCAATTAGGGAGAAACAAAGGAGACTGGGACAGAAACAGAAGAATTAGGAGAGAAAACCAGCAAGAATCAATCAAGAGAAAATTTCAATAATCATTATTACAACACCTCCAATATTAATCATCCAAAACCTAATTGAAACTAAAATAACTTAGTTATTTATAACTAAACCCGAAACCCCAATAAACTGCAAATACCAAATATAACCCTAAAACCCTAATACTTGGAAAAGAAGTAAACTACTAATTAATATAAAATAACCTGAAAGTTCTAAAATTTCTTAAATATCTATGAAAGTTACAATTAAAACCATAAAATAAAATATAAGTCTTGGATAATTTAGTCCTTCAACTAGCATATCTGCATCCATCCATAACAGACCATTGTAATATGTTATACTGTGAGTGCCTTTGGATTTATTTGAGCTCCCATAATTTTATGGAAAGGCTGCAGTTACACTTTTAATGATTCAAGAAATCCATACTGGTTCAAAACTCAGTATGTAGATTGAATTTAAAACCATGTATGACAAAAAGTGTATTTGACATCTTGCTAATATTGCTAATATAAACTATCTTCTTGTTTGGGGTCGTGGGCATTATCTAGCATGCCGGTTGCAGCATAAGGCTTGATTATAGCAACCAGCATGCTAGATAATACTATGGCAACAGATTGTTATGCAGGTGTTATATCATCAATTTTAGGGATAAGTTAAAGAGTACTTTAGTACATTTTCCATATCCCTTATTGTTGTCAAGTATTAGTTGCCTGTGGATTTAGTTCCCATTGCATGTACAAATAAAAATGCTAACCTGTGTTACCTATGTTATCATCATGGGTTAAATTCTGCTTAGTGTTCTTTTGTCATCTTAAAATCTGTTATTTGGTTACTTTTTTTTTTCTTGGAAAGAGGGTTGAGGGCTTTTTCTTTTTTTTTTTTTTTTTGTGTTTGTGGTGGTCATACATTTTCAATTTACATTTATGCTTAATTTAGCATGGTCCTATTTGTCTACTTAATTTTCTAAAATAACAGTCCTTCTCAGGTTGCAGTCATTCCTAACTGTAGCATATTAGCAACAGTTGGCCAGAAAATGGCTAGTACTCCAGGAGTCAGTGCCACTCTTTTCAATGCTCTGGCAAAGGTAGAAGATTCCATATATATATATATGTGTGTATGTGTGTGTGTATATATATATATATACACACACTTTCAGACAACTACTTTGCTTCTTGCTATGTTTATATAATATTCACTTAAGAACTTACTATATTCTTTTTATTCTTTTTTCCCCATCTCAAATAACAATGCAGGCAAATATTAATGTTCGTGCTATAGCTCAAGGTTGTTCTGAGTACAACATTACAGTAGTTGTTAAGCGCGAAGATTGTATAAGGGCTTTAAGAGCTGTGCATTCTAGGTTTTATCTTTCGAGGACAACCATAGCAATGGGGATTATTGGACCTGGATTGATTGGTGGGACATTACTTGACCAGTTGAGGGATCAGGTGTAGTATCAGAGAAAGTATTGTTTATTTTGTTGTCTTTTTGATGTTGCTAACAGAGATTGTATTTGAACATGCAATAATTTGTTACTTGTTGCTTTTCTTCTATAAACCCATTTCTAAGGCTCTTAAGTAAATTTAAAGTTGCTGAAAAATGTGCAAATCCTTTATTGTACATGGTAACTATATTATTTCACATTTTTCCGTAGTGATTAGTCTTTGTTATTAACCCTTGTGAATATTCTTATGATTGATCAATCATTTTGAAAATTAGGGATGCAAGTGAGTTGAATTGGTCACAAGTTATTGACTTGCCAGTTGCTTATGTCTTATCTTATTGAACCTGAACGATTGGTTGAATTTTTTGTGCAGGCAGCAGTCCTTAAGGAAGAATTTAACATTGATTTGCGTGTTATGGGGATTACTGGTTCGAGGACAATGCTTTTAAGTGAAGTGTAAGTCTTCAGCATTTATTGAAATAGCCCCATGGTGAGATATCATGTTTTTAGAAAGTTATTTAGGAAGAAACACAAGGTTGTTTGCTCTAGTTGAGAAAAGAAAATTTTAAAAATATTTGGAACTGTTATAACCATTGTATAAAAGCTTATGGATAAAATATGTCTCTCTGTTCTTAGGGTATGTTTGAAATAAATGAATTCCAGTAAATGTTTCTGGAATCATTACTGTCCGATAGGTTTAAAGCATATCATATCATTGATGGAAATGAATTCTAAAAAATTTTGTGGTTTTCATTTATTCCAAACACATATTAGTGTGATTTGGATATTGCATTGAAACGGAAATAATTTCTTTGGATATAATGCTAAATTTTTAAAGAGCCCATGTTATTGTTAGTCTTATTAATTTGCGCTATGATGAGAGATTGTCACCTTTGATCTATAACTGTTGGTTTGGCTTGTGAATGATTTAATTTAGTCCTTTAAATATTTCTTCTCTATGGATATGAAGAGAGTTCTTGAAAACTTAGAGAAGGTCTGAAATTAACCATTTAGTTTGGCATATAAGTCTGAAATTAACCATTTAGTTTGGCATATATGTGCTTTACTGTTCAAAGTTTCTATTGCTTTAATGTAACTTTCAAGGTGATTTATTTTTTGCTTCGTGCCTTGCGCATTTTATTAGCTTAATTGGTACCATTCAGGTTTCATTCTTCTTGGCCTTCCCTCTTTCTTTCTAATCTTCTTCTTCTTCCTTTTTTTTTCTTTTAAATTGTTTTAATTCCTTTATTTGCATCACAAACCATATTATACCTTCTTTTCTATGTTGTATACAAATTCTAAATTTACCATGTGATAGTTACATTGCCTTTCTTTTTGGTTTTTGGTTTTCTGTTTTTGTGGTTTCTGATTTATGCTTTATTCTCTTTTCTCTCGATTATGTGTTTTACAGCATAAATCTCCCCTGTTATTGTTATTTAGATGTCTTTCCATTGTGTCTCCACCGTCAAACTCACCGTTTTCTCCATCCATTTGACTGTTGGTACTTGTCGATGAACTGTTATAATTTACACGTGTTTGTTTTGTTGTATCCTGCCTTTGATTTCATATTTCTCCATTTCTGAACTATGTTCATACGATTGACTCATCCATCTCTTGTTATAGAGGAATTGACTTGTCAAGATGGAGAGAACTTCTGAAGCAGAAAGGACAAGTTGCCGATTTAGAAAAATTTACCCAACATGTGCATGGAAATCATTTTATTCCAAATACTGTTTTGGTAGATTGTACGGCAGACTCTAATGTTGCAAGCTGTTACCATGACTGGTTGCGTAAAGGAATTCATGTGATCACTCCAAATAAAAAGGCCAATTCAGGACCACTGGATAAGGTAACATTGATTTTGTTATGGTAACTTTAGCCATTATAACTCATTATTGAGTGCTTAATGATGGAAGTACTGATGACTTTCATTGGTTTTTGATATGCCTTTAAGTTGCTTGACAAAATTGCCTTGGATCTTATGGCCAATTTGTTATTTTGGTGATTTTTTCATTTATGACTTCTGTTAGAAGTAGAATTAATTTACTTTGGTTTTGGAGAGTGGAAATATTTTAAAATATGCTCACGATGAAGGGTTTTTTTATATCATATTTGCCACTACAACAGATTAACAGTCTTAATTGATAGTTGATGATATGATTTATTTGCCTTGCAATTGAAAAACTTTCAGGCAGGTTGTGGTTTTTCAAACTAATTATAGTAAAAATTCATTGGGACTTTTATGTAATTTATCCTTTACTTTGTGCATGATGCGTGGTCCTAGATTGTGTGCATATGGAGGTTTACCCTTGGATCACTGATGCTTGCTGTACATCATCATTTGATTCTCATACAGCATCAATGAGTGCTTCTTTTATAGTTGATTTATGTGTTATGGTCGATTGCTGAGTGATTAAAAAAGTTATTTTTTTCCTCTCATCCTCATATTGTTGGTTCACCTCTGCGTGCAAGTCACAATATGTTTCATTTGATAGGATTCTTTTGGGATTCTTGGATATTGCTTATGTCTCTTACTTTTCAGTAGTGAGGACATAATAGTAACTTCAGGTCTCCTATTAGTTATTAGACTAAATTTTTTTTACAAGGAATCCCTGGAAAATTCCTTTCCAGGATTTCATCAAAGAAATGAAAGATAAAACAATCATGAAGGAAACTAAGATATGGAATCACCAAATTGCCAATTAAAAATATATAGTGACTACGTTGTAGGGCCCCATATTTGGATAGTTATGAGTGTGTTGGATTTTCCCTATATTTTGTTTGTTTTTATTGTATCTAAGAGGTACTCTCCTTTTGGGACACGTGTTTAGAGAGGTAATTCTTCAAATAAGCAGTACAGGAAAGGTGAGCTATATATAAAACATTGTGCTTATCTCATTGAAGATCTCAGTGCAACTGAAAATGGGATTATTAATAACCTGGTTTGTATGTTGAGGATTTGTTTTTATTGTATTTAAGAGGTACTCTCCCTTTTGGATGCTGGTTTAGAGAGGTAATTCTTCAAATAAGCAGAATAGGAAAGGTGAGCTATATATAAAAAAATTGCTCTTATCTCATTGAAGGTCTCACTGACACTGAAAATGGGATTATTAATAACCTGGTTTGTATGATGAGGAAATTAACTATCAAGAATCAACAAAAATTTTTGTGGATCCTGTAATTAAAGCATAGTATATTAAGTCATTGATATCTTCTAATGCTGCTTTCTTGAGCTCCACATCTTCCCGCTACTCTGTTGAGGAAGTGAGCTAGGCTCATACTTGGAAGCCTTCCTTGATTGAAATTTCAAAATTAGTCAGGTTAGAGACATGCTTAAATTCCAATTATTCTGGCCAATTCAATGTAGTGGAACTTTTGGTGAAAATGTTTAATTCACTAAACTTTGACATGCTTGTCGAGTTGGTTTCAGTTGAAATCAAAGATTGCTGTTTGTAAGAGGCAGGTGAGCTATATATAAAAAAAAATCATCTTCTCATTGAAGATCCATGTCACACTGATAATGGGATCATTAATAGCCTTGTTTGTATATTGAGGAAATTGACTATCAACAAAAAATTTTCTGGATCCTGTAATTAAAGCGTGGTATATAAAATCATCGGTATAATGATGGTTTCTTGAGCTCCACAACCTCCTGCTAATTTGTTCAGGAAGAGAGCAATGTCTATTTGTAAGCCCTCTTTGATTGAAATTTCTAAATTAGACCTCTGAGGGTAGAGAAAATGTTTTGGCCAATTCAACGTAGTGGAGTCTTTTAGTGAAAATGTTAATTCACTCAACCTTTTGACATGCTTTTATAGTTGGTTTCAGTCTGAAATCAAAAGATTGCTGCTTGTAAGAGAGAGGGGTGCCGCTGCCCCGGGGGGGGGGGGGGGGGGAGGGAGGGGAGGGGGTGCAGGCGGTCCACTGCCTTGGCTTCTCACAGAATTATGTTATGACCCATAGAAATTTTCTGATTTTACTTTTCTACTTCTACTTGGCCTGCCTTAATTTTATTAAATTATTTTTATAGCATTCAACATTTTTTTTTATTGTTTAATCCAATCTTGATTACTTTTCAGAATTTATTCAAAATTGTTTTGTTTTTGGTTGGTTTATTTAATAATTATTACTATTTACTTTTCATTAAACTCCCTTTTATATTATGGATTAATTTAGTTTCATAAATATTCATACTTACCTTTCATAGTAGTACTTAATTTTAGTTTTTTACTTGTTTTAAAGTTATTTCCTTGCATGATAATTACTTATAATTTGTATACTAGTAAATATATATATATATATATATTATCAAGTATCTATAGTTACTAAATGCACAAGAAATAGAAATTTATTATTGAATCAAATATGTAATAATGTATTTTAATATTTACAATAGTGCAGTATATACATAAATTTCATTTCTATCATAGAGTACTTTATAATTAGTCCTTAATTAATTTATAATGAATATAAATTTAACAATAACTTTGTTAATTATGAAGAAATTATGAAAATAAGTTAAAAGTTTGAATAGCAATTTTTTTATTAAAAATAAGATTAAATTTTTTTTTAAAATATTAAAAACAAGTGATTAACATTATATATACCTTTTTAGCATAAAGGCTTAGTGGCCACCCCTAGTGTTGATTCTTGGCTCCTTCCCTAGTAAAAGGCACATATAAATACCATAAAGCTAAAATTGATGTTACTTCTAGAAGTAAAACTTTTTCCCTGTTTGCAAGAGAAAAGATCATATAAATTCAAATGACTGGATAAGCTCAACCACCGTGGATGTGGGTGAAAATGTGATGGAAGAAAGTAGCACAGGAAAACTATTTGAATTTTTGTTTTATAATTTAGTGTCTTTGTTACTCCCTCTGTGATAGAGGTTCTCTGTTTTCTGGCTTTTCTGCTTGTGTGCGTGTGTTTTTAGTTTTCTTCCCCCCCCCCCCCCCCCATATTTGTTTGCATGCATTAACTCATAGCCTGTAATGACATAGCTGCATAAATTGGTTTTATCATTCTTTTTTTTTTTAATGTTAAACTAAAAATGGTTATCTTAGTGATTTAGCAAACTTGATTGCAATTTGTTTTTGCTGAAACTTTCTTTCCCATTGCATCTCTGATTGAATTTTGTTTTACTGGATTTATGTTCTGCTTTGTTGATATTCTTTTTATGTGAAACTCAGTACTTAAAGTTAAGAGCTCTTCAGCGACAATCCTACACACATTACTTCTACGAAGCAACTGTAGGAGCAGGTCTTCCAATTATTAGCACCTTACGAGGTCTCCTTGAAACTGGGGACAGAATATTGCGCATTGAGGGCATTTTCAGGTGAGTCATGTTTTGAGGAAATTAAAATTTGATCTTCTCCATGTGCATCTTTTGACATATCTCTTCTGCTTTGGTATTTGTTGTAGTGGCACTTTGAGTTATATTTTCAATAACTTCACCGGCACTAGACCCTTTAGTGAGGTGGTGGCAGAGGCAAAACAGGCAGGTTATACTGAACCAGATCCGAGGGACGATCTGTCTGGAACAGATGTTGCAAGAAAGGTAGGAGTGTTCTGGTTTTTTTTTTTTTATTCCCTTAGTTACATCAGTAAATAAGTTAGTGCTGTATATGCAATTTTTATGCGTATTGTCACTTACCAAACTGTGATGTAGAGGTGGGAATTGGGTGGGTTGGGCTATATTGGGTCAACCGAAATTGGAGTCATTTCGGGTTTGGGTCACTTTGCATTTGGATCATTTCAAGTTCAGCTCATTTAGGTTCCAGTCATTCATATTTAAATTGTTGACTTTTGAAGTGAAATTAGGTTAGATTTGGTGAGTCATTCAGATTGTGTCTGACTTTATCACCCTTAATTAAGTTATATATGGTCACATATTTATTGGTGGTATGTTTTCAATTCTGATTTTTGATATCACAAGGATAAATTTAAAAAAGGAATCATTAGATTGTATAAAAAGAGAGAAAAAGGTAAATCCAAAGTCATATATTAATTTATTTAGAATTATTTCTCTCAAATATTATGCCCTCAAAAAATTCATTAATGAATTTTGATTGGTCGATATTCTTTATTGCACTAATTATTACTATTTATTTTACCATTCATTAGCTAGATTCATCATCAATTAGGGTTAGGGCTTACAAGGCCTTGTAACTCTAAAAGTTAGAAGTGGTTGTTGATTAATTTCTTGAATGTTAGACTTCTTTAGAGTTAAAAATAATTATTTGAATATATATATATATATATATATATAAATTGTTTGTTAAAAATTAAATTGAAACTATAATTTTTGTGAACAATAAAATACATGATTATTGTAAGACAAGAGTTACAATAGAGATTTTATATTTTTATTTTTCTAAATTATTAATAGGTTAATAGTTATTGTTATATTTATTGTTTTTTTTATCGAATGTAATATTTAAAAAAGAAAATTCAAATTATATTCAATTTAAGTTTGGGTTGGATGAGTTTGCATTGTTGACTTTTTTTGGTCAAATAAGGTTGGATCAAATTCGGATTTGGGGTGGTTGGGTAGGTCTTTGGTGTTTAGGTCGATTTTGCCTTCTCTAACTTTTGAGGTAGTTGTTAAGCAAAGCATCTTTCTAATTGGCACTGGCAGAAGAAATGTATAGAATTCTAGACTTCCCCAAGCATATAGAGAATTAGCTTGTTTGAAAATTCTGCTTTCTTTCATTGTACATATTCATGGAGATTTCACCATGAGCTTAAGCATATTACCATTCAACATGCATTCAGCGGATGATAGCTTTTGGTAGGACTAAGCATGATGGCTTGAACTGTCATTTCTCGCATATTATAGTTGCTCCATGTTTATGCTCACTTCAGTGAAATGACATTGGGCTCATGGATGGGTTTTCATTCTGTAGGTGATAATTCTTGCCAGAGAATCTGGCTTGAAATTGGAACTTTCTGATATACCTGTTCAAAGTCTCGTTCCAGAACCACTAAGAGTAAGGGTTTATTTTCTTTTGTTATAGAAATAGTATACTCAAGAAAGAAATCATTAATGTGATTTTTTTTTTGTGGCAAAAAAAAAAATGTGATACTTGTATTTACCTTTGCAGGCTACTGCATCTGCTGAAGACTTTATGGAGCAATTACCTCAGTTTGACAAAGACTTGGCTAGGGAGAGACAGGAGGCTGAGGAATCAGGGGAAGTGAGTATTTGATTTTTGTTTCTTTTTCCCTATCTCTGCTTGTAGGTGATGCTCAAATCCTTTTGAATAATTTGATTTGCAGGTCCTGAGATATGTTGGAGTAGTGGATGCTGTCAATCAAGAGGGAGTTGTGGAGCTGCGAAGATACAGTAAAGATCACCCATTTGCACAGCTCTCCGGTTCTGATAACATCATAGCTTTCACAACTACAAGGTACAAGGAGCAGCCATTGATAGTTCGGGGTCCCGGTGCTGGTGCCCAAGTAACTGCTGGTGGTATATTCAGTGACATTTTGAGGCTTGCTTCGTATCTTGGTGCCCCATCTTAGGGATGTTGATACCTCCAGCAATACTCCAATTTAAGACACTCTTTTGTCTTCCAGACCTCCTCATCCCCCTTTTCTTCCAATATTTGTAGGAAGCATTTTATTAAGTTGAGTGTTGTTTCTCTAGAGCTATTGACGGCTGGCTTCTCTGTGATGGAAACGGAAGGTAAGTGTTACCTGCTAAACTGGGTTAAAGATCAGTTGGTAAGGGTGGAATAGGCTCTAATCAAAGATCTTTCCTTTCTATTAAACAAATAAATAAAAATTACTCGACTTTTGACTTTTAAACTAGTGACGTTTTTTCTTTCTATATATTGTCGTCTGAGTCCTGAAATCGATTTAAATTTTATAAAGTTGCTGGTGGGAATTTGAATTTGAAATAATAGATTTTGATCTCAAATTTAGCATAAATTGAACATAACTCAAGAAAACACATAATTAATTATTTATGAATTCATGGATTTACTTTATTTTTATTTGGTAATGAATTATTTTATGTACTTTAATGATTTATGTTTTCGTTGGTTATAAATTTTGTTTTTTATTTTTTACTTATTTCTTTTTATTATTATTTTTAAAAAGAAGTAGAGAGTAAACATTTAAAAAAATTTGTAATTCATATTATTTATACTATCAAATATATACATGTATTGAATTTTAGTTACTGTAATTTTATTTAACATTTAATTTGATCTTTACAATTTATATGATATATTGAATCCGAATTTCTTCTTCCTAGTTTGTGATCATAAATCAAACATTAATTTCGTTGGAATTAATTTTTTGTTTCTTATATCAGAAAATAAGAGTTTGTCCATGACGAAAGCTATCTTGACAGTGTTGAGTTTTTAAAGTTGAGGTAGAACCTTCAATAACTTTTTATTATTCAAGCTTTGTGGGTTTTTTCTTCCACTTACTTAGGTCTTGTAAGAATTATAGAAGAATTCTGACTTTAAAACTTCAAATTTACTCCAACCAAAATTACAATTGGCTTAAGAATCAAATGAATAGTTGATCTTTACAAAACTGGGTTGGAGCATCTACCCACTGATTGGAAGAACAAGCATTAACTTTAGCAAAATTTAAGCATTTTTGGATAAACAAGGTCGAATGACACTCGATAATGTGGATTGGTTTAAATTGTCTTATTTTTAATTGAAAAATTTTTGAAAGAATCCAAGTCACTCGACAGTCAAGAGCATCGTCAGTCGGCTCTAGTTTATTTTTGATAAAAAAAAAATGTCGATTCACACTTTCTAGTGTCAGTTGACTCTCGGGTAATTTTTTTTGTTAATTCAATTTTTATTTGAATTACATTATCATTTATCTTAAGTCTTGATAATTATCATATTTATTTTTTAGTAAATATAGAATTTTTTAACTAATTTGAACTGCTTGTTACGTTCAACATCGATTATCCATTTCACTATCAAACTATCCTATAATTATTATTGTATGCGTTATGAATAATTGGGATACATCATATTAAGTATTACTTTTAATAATCAAGGCATTCTTTATCTACAAAGTTAGTGTATATATTTGATATTATTTACATTTTAGATAAACTTTATGGAATAAATATGTCTTGCAAGAGAATTACAAATGGGTTGTATTTAAGATATCATTGTTGCTTTAAAAGATTATTTTTAAATTGTTTCTAGTCAATGTTTTGTAAGGATAGGACATTGATAAAATTATTGAGACTCATAAATGATATACTCTTACATAAGAAGTAAGTAACCAATTACATAGATTAAAAATTGGATAAACTTGAATTAATATATGGGTGTTTGTTATAAAATTAAATTGATTAAACATGATCTGATACGAGAATACAATTCAGTAATTCATTTCATTTCTATGTTAACAATCTTATGTGGTAGTTGTATAATTAATCACCTGACTTGAGATTACAATCGATCGTTTATTAGGAATGCTATTCTTTGATATTATCTTACTTATGATCTTAGCATGGAAGTCTTACTCGAATAATATTGGGTATAATTTGAGATACATGGAGCTAGGGTTTATCCCCTTACATGATTGGCCGATATCTCAATAATTTTTTAGAAATATTAACTTATGAAAATTTTGGCCGAAGTGGAATGAAGCGTTAGAATAGTTATAAAAATTATGTTTGGTGCGTAGGATGTGAATATGATAGTATGATAATGATTCTATATTATATTTGGTTGGTATCTAATTTAAAAGGATATGATTATATGAAAGATTATTATCCTCTTGATATAGGATGATTTAATCCTTTTAGAATGGAGCCAATTATTTTTAATCTATGGTATTAAATTTACATATCTTATTATATTCTTAAAAATTACATCAATAATTTAAATTGTATAAACTTTGAGGAAGGATAATTTTGATCAATAAATAATTTATCTTATCTTAATCCTTGCACATATCAAGTATAAGATAATATGACATTATTTAATCTAACCCTATTTATAATATTATCATATCTTATTTTATCATAATCTTGTATACTACATATGACCAAAATTAAACTTTAAAAATGCATGATTAGTTTCATGCATGATTAAATTTTAGTTTTGGTCATGATCAAAGTTCATTCTTAGAGTTAATAACTTCATGAGTCAAGAATTACTATGGTTTAATGCATATAGGGTAGACAATAATTTATGCTTTAGCTCTGTTGAGATATAGTGATGAAAGATAATAATTACATTGAAAATAATCACACGTAGGTTGGTCAAATCTCATTGACCATTTTTAACAACTGGATGGTTTTCATCGACATTTTTAGATGCCAACTATGATCTATAAATATGAAATTACTTAATTAGAGAATTAATAATAAAATCAAAAGATTTTATTCATCTAATCCTAATTTAAAAAAAAATTAAAATATTCATATTTATTTCCAACATGCTAAGGAACCTAAAGTGTTGTACACATAGAATATAAAATGTGAAATATTAAGTTGAGATTTTTAAGTTGAACTTAATTAAAAGAAATTAGGAACTTCAAGGATTTATTTGCATAAATTAATAGTCTAGGGGGCAATAGTTAAAGGATGCTAAACGTAATAAGAACTAAGGAGAGCCAAACTCTCATCTACATAAAGAAGCATTGCCACATGTTTCAATATACCATCCTAAGTCTCATGCATGGAGCAAAAAAGCCTAATTCACAAAGAGAGGCACGCGTTTCCACTAGCATAAAATTTGGCAAAGCTTTATTTTTCTTCTCCAAGTAGAATCGTTCACCTTTTGTTTATGTGGACTATTACTAGAGGCTGAACACTTCAAGAGTTGATAGTTGCTACAACATAGTTTGAAGTTTCTTGGTGATATTATCTTTACCTAATCCTAGAGATTAATCCAAACAGACTTTGCACTTAACGATTTGCTAGTATGGTTGTAGTTAATGAAATAAGTTTGTGATCCTTGCTTTTGGGAATTTAAAAATTTTAACTGAATCTACAATTTCTTTGCATGATAATTTCCCAAAATAACAATTTGAAAATATTGATAACTGTTCATTACTCTTTTTTTCTCTTTTTCATAATATTCCTTTTAGAATGTTAAGAAATTCTTAACCCTAACCTTTTAGAAGTTTTGAGTTAAAGGAGTCCAAGCCTAAGTCTAGCAAGCCCAACTAATTTTGCGAAATGAAGTTTGCAACCTTACTTGTTTTCGCATCAGAGGACACCATTAAATTAATGCATCTTTTTTTTCCACTAAAACAATTTGCATTAATCTTCTCCCACCAAGGGACATCATTTTTTCCTCATGAAAATATCTTTCAATCTTCTTCTACTCTGAGCTATCATTGATTCAAATGCATCATTCTTTGCCAAGAAAATTTCATTCAATGTTTTCCAACCATGGGGGCATCGTATGTTTGAATCTTTGTTCAGAGACATCATCTTTTTCCAACTTGATAAATCCATTTCATTCATTCTTTTTCCATTTGGAGCTTTATACATTTCAATTATCTTTGTTTAAGAGCTTCATAAATCAATTTTAGTTTTTCCCATCATGCACACCTCTTTGCATCTTTTTGATTGAGTTTTCTATTAATTTTCAATCTCAAACATTAGTTTTTTGCCAAAAGCATCTTTGAACAATTTAACATTCAATGCATCATGAGATAACAAACTATTGATCTCAAACCTGTTCTGACTAATGCATGACAATAAATTATTGCCTATCCATTAATTGTTGAATGATGTACAACAAACTATTTCTTTTGAACAATGTGGAATTAAAGGAATCATCATCTCTTATTTCTTGGGAAATCCAAGATATCTTTCAACACTAATTTGATGCAACGATGATATTATAATTACATCTTATTGTAATTCCATTGCAAAACATATTTATTTCATGCACTTTATCTATAAGAAATAAGTAATGTCAAATATATGTATACAAATTTAAAGATATAAAAAGCCTTAGTTAATAATATTGCTTAATATGACATATGTCTCATAGCCAATCCGATTAGTCTTAAAGCATATTCGAAAACTAGTATTAGGTTTCGGCTTAAGCACTACGTTCACCTTGTGAAAGTTCTTTTCTCCTTATTTATATAGATCATTGTTAGAGGCAGGACACTTAGATTATAACACCATTGGCAAAGCAAAGTAAGTGGAATTTACCTTACCCGAATGATTGCTTTTGTTTGTTTAAATTCTTATCAACGTGATCTAGGGTTTAAGAATTAAAAAGTTTTAAATTTTGCTGCATTTACATGCTCATTGTATGATTAATTCCCAATATTCAAAACATTTTGAAAACCTCCAAAATTGCTGTTTCTCTCTTCCCTCTCTTTTTTTAATATCTTTTTAGAATTTGAAGAAATTCTTAAGCCTAAGCCCCAAGAAGTCCTAGCTAGAAGGATTTAATGACGAAAAGTAAACCTAACAACTTAAAATATGAAATCAACATGATATTAAAAAAAGATATGAAATTAATACGATTTAAAATTTTAACAATAACTATATATGATTTAACAAAATTAAAAAAAAAAAAAGGATACTCCAGTATTCAAGGTTCCAATATTTAAAATTTTAATACGAATTATAATACGTAATTTTGTGTAAAACATTACACAAATACATAAATTTTAATATTCTATACGACACAAATACATAAATCATTAGATCTACCAAAAAAGATATTCTAGTAGTCAAGGTTCAAGGTCGGTCTTAATCTAGATGAAACTCTTCCAATGAATCCCAGTTCCATTGAAATTCTATCCAGGTAGTGTTAGTCCAACTACAACTTCGTCTAAGAAGTTAA